AATATTTTTAATGAGAAATTGAAGTCTATTGGCATTACATGCTCACTACGTTTTCATTCTCCTAATATCCCAGGTGGTGAAAGAAAACATAACTCTTCTGACTTTTGGTTCAGTACAGCTTGTACTGGAGATATATGTAAGAGAAAATATGTAGTAAGTCATAGAAGAGATATGGATAATAACTTAATGGTGTTATTTCGTGTGGACGTCTATGGCGAAGAAAATCACAGTAAAGACAATGTAATGCGACCACGCAAGCTGGATGCCAAAGAACGCGATTTTATTGGTAAGATGTTTCGATATGAAAATTCAGAACATTAAATTAATATTGTTAATATACATTTTAGGCAAACGAGCAAATGAGATAGGTCCCTTAGGAACATTTCGCGAGCTCGTGGAAGCTGCTGATGAAAAAATGCTCGCAGCAAGTAATTTCTCACAATGTCCGACGATTGAAGCAGTGAAGAAATGTGGATCGGATTATCGAAAGAAGATGCGTTTCGACGAAGACGTGTTCAGAGAATGTCGAATTTTAAGTTGCTTTTATCGCAAAGAAGATATTACATCTGAAAATATTTTAGGTAAGTCAAGCTTATCAAAAAAAGAGCCTATTTAGAGGATTTGATATTTGCTTTTTATAGGATACATTCACAACTCGGGCGAAATACCATTTCGATCACATTTGTTTACCGAATCACAACTCCAACGATACATTAGGTATGTTGAGAACGAAAAATATTCTTTTATTCATATAGATTCAACTGGTGGAGTATTAAAACCAATGAAAGAACAAAATCAATTATTGATTTATACAATAATGTTCAAGGATGGTATTGATGGAAATAATAATGTTCCACTAGCACACGCTATATTAACAGATCATACAGTCCCGGGTATCGGTTATTTTCTTGGCAATGTAATTCATAGTGTCAATCAAGTGACAACAAAGAAAAAAGTACGTCCACCTTCATTTATCGTTATTGATTTTTCTGCTGCTCTTATGAATGCCGCTCTTCAACAATTCAATATTGAAACTATTAACAAACATCTCAAACGATGCTGGAATGTTATACGTGGCAAATATAGTGCTGAAATAATTCGATCATTATCTTTTATTCATTTGTGCTGTTGTCATGTTATGCATGCTGTGGCAAGAAGTCTGAATGCTGAAAAAATTGAAAAGAAAACGCGAGAAGCTGTGTTATATATATTCGCTTATATGTTATGTAGCAATGATATCAATCAGTTATATGACACATTGGAATTAGTGATTGATATATTTGGTGATCCAAATGAACAGAACGCAAAAAAGAAACTTGATCGAATATGTTCTCTTAAATTGAACGTTGATGAAGAAAGTGAGTCAGTTTTAAATGATTTCGATAATATTTTTAAAACAGCTGAAAAGAAGGAAGAAGAATTAAAGCTTGTCGATGAATACTTTGATTCCAATGAACCTATCATCCATCAGTCACCATTTAATAAAGAAGCCATCAGACGTTATCCATTGTTGAATGAGATATTAATTAAAAAAAAGATAAAAAGCAGCAATAAGAATACACTGTTTTCTGCATCGATAATTCGTATATTCTATAAATGGTGGGCATATTTGCCATTATGGACAGGTTTGTTATTCAATTTCGAAGAACGATATGCCAATGACATTCAACAGAATCCATCGGTAACATACTATCCTATCCGATACTCCAATGCGGTTATTGAAAGTTATTTCCGAACATTCAAAAAAAGTATCTGTCAAGGAAAGAGAGGTAAACCACCTCAAGAGGTTATCATGGCGTTACATAGAAGTGTAAAAGTGCAATCAAAGGCTGATCGGTTTGGATTAACACAAAGTTCAAAGGGAAGAAAAAGAAAAAAAAATAATGTAGGCGTAGGAGGAGATTGGAAGAAGAGAACGCACGAAAAAATACGTCGGGGTAAATACACAGATCTGATTGACAAACTTGTATCGAAACGTGCACGACGAAAAGATGATCAATCTCAACAAGATGGCGTGACGAAAAAATACAGGTAATTTCTTTTGAATTCTAATCTATTAGATTGTATCTTTACGTTTAGTGAATCGGAAAACACTACAACTGCTTCTTCATCAAGCAAATCGGGATCATCTTCTAAAACTTCAAGCGAGAAAATTTCAATCAAGTAAGAGAAACATCATTCTGATGCCAAACCATAAGTATTTTTTATTTAGTAAATCATCCCGTTCCAGCATAAGAGATTCATTATCATCATCTGAAGCGGCTACCAAGGTAAGTCATGAATATTCTGATAATATTTCAATCAATTTAGATGTGTCGACGAACAATAATCATCAACAAAATGAAATTTCAATTGAAAACAGTTTGAACACAAGTTCATCTTCTATAACAACAAACACTTCGATTGCTATTAACGAAGGTGTGTAATGATATGAGTTAATCTACATATTAGAATAGAACTGTTATATTTATAGAACACAATGTGACAACTAATCAATTATCAAAAGATCTGTCAAAAAAGATTCAATCTCATCCAGAGGCAACAATCAACGGCTATACAATGAAATGGCCCAAATTTGAACTTAAAAATGTTCTATTTAAAGGTAACAAAGAAAAAAAATTAAAGGATAAATACATCATTCAGAATCAAATCTATGCGTATTCTTTTTTTTTCAAGGTCACAAATATTCTTTGAAAAACACATGCGCCATCGATTCGGCTCTGTTTGCTATCTATTTCATATATGTGACAGATGTGACTATCTCCTCTGAGTTTAAAGAAGCGTCAGAATCGTCACCTTATGCAACACTAGTGAAAACTTTCAATATCGTAGAAAAAGAAGGATGGGACGCTGCACGTATTTACTGGCTACTTAAATTCGAAATTTTGAAAGCGACTGATCAAAAACCCAAAAACTTGTTCAGTTCTGTTGATGAACTCGTATTTTCTTTTCTTAAAAGTCAACAACGACACTCAAATGAAATCTTGTGTTCACGGTCTGATTGTCCCCAAAAGGAACGCAAGTGCACATCAACTGAATTGGATATTTTGTAAGCATAAATTTTTCAATAAAATCTCTTTCATAATCAATGTTTTTCTAGTTCAAATGACGAGTGCATTGACAAATTTGAGATTGAAACTGAGGGAGTGTGTTCAACAATGGTGAAACGCCCAGAAGAAATGAATGAAGCTGAAGCACTTCAAAAGAAATACAGAGATGGTCGCGTGCCACTTTTCAATTGTGAAACAAACACAAATGAATACGAGTATGTTGGCTCTCTTCTCTTGAAAGTGTTAATTGTTTTCTTCTATCAAGACGTGGCTGGTTATGTAATGCTAGAAATATTCAAACATCACCTATATTTGATTATGGCCATCCTCCCATAATTATTGTAAGTATTAAACCATTTTCAAGAAGAATTAATGAAGGCTATGAACCAAATGAAGTCCGACTTCGTGATCTTAAAGATACCATCAGAATCAGTTCTATTAAGTATGTATTGAAAATACTTTTCATTTTTCATATATCTTTTAGTCAATGGCATCTAGTAAGCATTTTAAAACAACTATCTTCTTATATACACTTGAACTCAAAATACATACTAATGCTCTTGATTGCTCTTTTCTGTTTTTCTAATTGTTTCTTTTCTGTGATAGATACAAGCTGCGCGCCGTTATCAATCATCGAGACGGACATTTCACCGCCACTCTAATTGGTCCCGACAAAGATTTGTACATTTACGACGATCAACAAGGTGTTCGATATACTCGCTCTTCAACAGACCGTGTTGAAATAGCTATTTACAGTCAAATTTATGAATTTTAGTCTTTTTTTTTGTATTTCTTCCGTGATTTTGTGAAAACATTTTTTTTTTGTACAAACAATTCAACCTATATCTGTACATATCAATAAACAAGAGATGTCAAATACAACTGTCAAGATGACACCTCACAATATATACATATATTTGTCGTTTCTCTTTTTTTGACACATAACTTCTCGCCTGATGAAGCACAATACGAAAGAAAAAGAAATGGAAGCGATAGAAAAAAAAAATGTGTATTGAACGAACAGAACAGAAAAAAGAACGGAAGCGAAAGAAGAGAAACAACTATACATATTGGATGGACAGAACAGAAAAAAGAATGGAAGCGAAAGAAGAGAAACAACTATACATATTGAACGGACAGAGCAGAAAAAAAGAGTTAATTGATGGACATGAAAGATGAAAAGATAAAAAACCAATGTTAGTATCCTCTTTGCACATGCTTTGAACTATTTGATAGTAATAACAAAATAACATAACATAGAAAGAACAATATATGTAAATTAATTACACAATTTGAACAACAAACATGTACATGTCTACCTATATATATAGGATGAAAATAAGGAAGATTATCATTCATCTTTTACTGTATTCAATATGCTATTTTCTATCGTCGTTTTTCTTCTTCTCATTCATAATTCTGCTCCAGTAAGTAACTCAGATAAATCCAGAACGAATTAATTTATTGATGCTTGCATCTAGGAATATGATAGCCTTGTTGATTTGATCAATAAGACGTATTATCTTAAAACAAGCACCACCACCATCATCACCACCACCATCATCACCACCACCACCATCACCACCACCACCATCACCACCACTACTAATGAAATAGAACAAATCAAAAAAATTGCAGATAATATCAACTCCACCACCGAAAAAATTAAGATACTTCTTCCCCCATTAATTATTTTAATTGTCACGGTTTGCTCCATCATAGTTGGTTTTTTGAAAAAATGTTATGTAAATAATGGTCATTGCAAGGTGAGAATCAAGAGATATGTAACTGATCATTCAATCAATATTTAATTTTTTTCAGGCTGCTTGGTTTTTTTGTAAATCACTTGATGAATATAGACGTCGTCGTCAAGCAGTTCGAGGTAAGTTATTGATATCTTTTTCGCATTATGATAACTTTTGTTTTAATTCTAGAAAGAGAAATATCTCTCAATCAATTGACCGAACAGTCGACCACCACTATTTATGCCATCGCCTAATTTATTCTTTTTCTTTCCTTCTCTTGTAATTAATTGCACATTTTTTTTTCTTGTCCTTATTTATTTGTATATTTTTTTATAATAAATCTTGTGAATCGTATTATTGTTTTATAACTTAAATGGATTGAATTGAGATGCTATGTCAAGCACACAAGCAACATAAACATTACAAGAAGATGAATGTATATACCTATATCGGTAACTGATATACGGATGAATAATTTTCTAACTGGAAAATTTAATCGTAGCCATCAGCTTGATGAATATCATGGATAGCATCTCTTTACATACCTTCTATAAGTGGTTTACGATAAAAAAAAGAGATATATGCGTTGTCCATTAAGATAAACTTCACGATATTAATGAAATATAAAGATAAATACTGATTGGATATTATATTTCACGTATATTTTTTTCGCTCTGGGTACACCAATCACTTTCGTCTTTTATCTGATTCTCTTTCTTTTAAACATATATCGTCTATATATAAGCGATAGTTAAAAAAAAGGAGAAAATCACTTCTATCTCTGAATACTTCTTAGATTGTTTTGCGTACATTTTTATCGTCAATATTTACATTAAAGTACATTACATCAAGATGGTTCATGCTACAAAATTGTGTCTCTTATACTTTATAATCAATTCAATGGGAACTGTTATGCTTACACCAATGCGAGACTGGTCAAAGAATGACGTTATAATTAACATTAATAAAGGCTATACTCTTCAACGGTTAGGTGTATATTCGCCCAACCTCGTAGAGGAAGTCATACATACATTCATACCTTTGTCTAAGTTTTGTATTTCATCGCCACAAACA